GGGATCACAATGAACGTTATCCAATGTTATGCACCCACCAATGATAGCAACGACGATGATAAAGATCAGTTCTATGAAAGGCTGCAATCAATTATAGCAAAGTGCTCACGAAAGGACCTCACCATCCTTATGGGAGATCTAAATACTAAAGTTGGAGTGGACAACACAGGATATGAAGATATAATTGGACGACATGGATTAGGAGAGAGAAATGAAAATAGGGAGAGACTTGCAAACCTATGAGCTTTCAACAAATTGGTTATAGGCGGCACAATATTCCCACACAAACGCAAACACAAAGCTACATGGATTTCACCGGACCACACCACAGAGAACCAGATTGATCACATCTGTATCAACAAAAAATTCCGAAGATCAATGGAAGATGTGAGAACCCGGAGAGGATCTGACATAGCTTCAGATCACCACCTGGTTGTGGACAAGATGAGACTGAAGCTAAAGAAACACTGGACAACTGGACAAACAGCACTACGAAGGTTCAATACAGCCTTCCTTCGAGATACTGACAAGCTCAACGAATTCAAGATAACTCTCAACAACAGGTTCCGAGCTCTACAGGATCTACTGAAAGAACAAGAAACTACGATGTTGGACAAAAGGGTTCAAAGAAGTCCTAACTTCAACGTGTCAGGAGGTTCTTGGTCCTAAGAAGCTTCGTCATAAGGAATGGATCTCTATAGGAACCCTGGACAAGATTCAAGAAAGGAAGAACAAGAAAATAGCAATTAACAACAGTCGAACACGAGCAGAGATAGTCAAGGCACAAGCTGACTAAGCAGAAGCAAACAAGGAAATGAAGAAAAGCATTAAAGGTGACAAGTAGAAATATATGGGAGAACTAGCAACGATAGCGAAAAAAGCTGCAAAAGAAGGGAATATGAGACAACTATGTGATTCAACGAAGAAATCGGCAGGGAGATACAGTAAACAAGAGAGGCCAGTCAAGGACAAAGAAGGAAAGACAATCACTGAGATTCAAGAACAGAAGAAAGGATGGGCAGAATACTTCGAGGAACTACTGAATAGACCAGCCCCATTGAATCCACCGAACATCGAAGCAGCACACACTGACCTTCCTATAATTGTCACTCCACCAACGATCGAAGAAGTCAAGATGGCCATCAGACAAATCAAAAGTGGACAGGCGGCAGGACCTGACAATATACCAGCAAGAGCACTGAAGTCAAACATTGAAGTGACAGCAAACATGCTTCACCTTCTATTCAAGAAGATTTGGGAAGAGGAACAAGTGCCAACGGACTGGAAAGAAGGACATCTCATCAAGATGCCAAAAAAAGGAGATCTGAGCTATTGTGAGAATTACAGAGGTATCAGTTTGTTATCAGTACCAGGAAAAGTTTTCAACAGTGTGCTGCTGGATCGGATGAAAGACGAAGTAGACGCCCAACTTCGAGATCAACAGGCTGGATTCCGTAAGGATAGGTCGTGCACAGACCAGATTGCGACACTATGGATCATCGTTGAACAATCAGTTGAGTGGAACTCATCACTATACGTCAACTTTATTGACTATGAGGCGTTTGACAGCGTGGACAGGAGAACATTATGGAAACTTCTTCGACACTATGGAGTTCCTGAGAAGATTGTCAACATTATCCAAAATTCATACGATGGACTACAGTGCAAAGTGGTGCATGGAGGACAACTGACAGATGCATTTCCAGTAAGGACCGGAGTCAGACAAGGCTGTCTACACTCCCCATTCCTCTTCCTTCTAGTGATTGACTGGATTATGAAGAATTCGACATCTGAAGGGAAATACGGAATACAATGGACCTCTCAGAATCAATTAAACGATTTGGACTTCGCAGATGATCTAGCCCTCCTCTCTCATACACACGAACAAATACAGATGAAGACAGAAAATGTAGCAGCACCATCTGCATCGATAGGCCTCAACATACATAAAGGAAAAAATAAGATTCTCAAATGCAACACGGAGAACACCAACCCAATCACACTTGATGGCGAAACTCTGGAAGAGGTGGAAACATTCAAGTACCTGGGGAGCATCGTTGATAAACAAGGGGGATCGGATGCAGATGTAAAGGCGAGGATTGGCAAAGCAAGGGCAGCATTTCTACAATTGAAGAACATATGGAACTCAAAACAACTCTCAACCAATTTCAAGGTCAGAATCTTTAATACGAACGTCAAGACAGTCCTACTGTATGGAGCTGAAACGTGGAGAACTACTACGGCCATCATCAGGTGTACCTTCCTGATGATGGCCGTAGTAGTTCTCCATTGTTAAAGAGAGAACAACTACAACCATGGTCAAGAAGGTACAAGTATTTATAAACAGTTGTCTACGCAAAATACTCAACATCCACTGGCCGGATACTATCAGCAACAGCGTTCTATGGGAGAGGACAAACCAGCTTCCAGCTGAAGATGAAATTAGGAAAAGACGTTGGAAGTGGATCAGACATACATTGAGGAAATCACCAATGTGCATCACGACTCAATCCCTAACTTTGAATCCGGAAGGGAAGCGGAAAACAGGAAGGCCAAAGAATACACTACGCCGAGAAATAGAAGCCGATATTTAAACGATGAATAGCAACTGGAAAGGAAGGCTCAGGACAGAGTTGGATGGAGAATGCTGGTGAGCGGCCTATGCTCCTCCACAAGGGGTAACAGGCGTAAGTAAGTAAGTATCATTCATATTGTTATATCTCGATGGTTGAACGCTATATTCAGATCCTAAGCTATTCTGATAATCCCAGGCTAGAACTATTCAACGACTTGAAGACCAGAGAGAAGACACGAGTATGAGAGAAGTACTTTACTGCAAGGTTCATTTGTGTACAGAAAAACAGGGGTTTTATAGTAATTAAAAGACCTTGAGTTCCCATAGTAGAAGTATGTTAAACAGCTAATCAGGACCTCGTTATTTTAGTAGCATAGCTTCTAACTAATCGCTGATTGGTTGGGCTCTTTATGAGCCTCTGGAGGTTCTGAAAGAGTTTACTGTAAGCCGACTTAACACATATGATCCAAGTGGAGTCGGATATGGGGTTACTTAAAATTTTTATGCACAATCCACTGTGATTGCTAATGAGTATGGTCAATGATGCAGAATCTCCAAATGAGAATGAATTATCTGTTCTGTGCACTCAAGTTTTCAATGATTTCCCAGTTTGAAAATGATTCGTGCAGCACTGCATATTATCACTAATCGTTCAACAATAAGGAAATCTAATATGTCACGCTAACCACCGAAATCTTATGTGCTGCCATAAAACATCATTTAAAGATGTATTTAATTATTTGAAAGTTGGTAACAAGTGGAGATTAACGAAAGTAAAATCCTAGCATGCTTGAATGCAACGACCAAGTTTACATCACAAGTATTTGACTTCAAATAGTCCTGTTAAACTTATAAAACATGAAAACTCTTTCATGCGATAGTGCGCAGACAAAAACAATCAGCCTATCTAGATATAAAGCGCATAGATAATTTTGTTAGCGACCCAAACATACATTTTGGAAAATAGTTGCTGTCTGAAAGTCGACAATTATCGCTTCTTAATCGATTATCAACAAGTGACACAGAGAACACCGAATGATTCAAAAACTGAAGCATTTCACTTGACTAAAAGCAACATGGATTATTGGTAACCATACATTGAAATATATGATATGAAGGAAACGTCAGGATTACTGGCTACCAAAATATGGCGACTAGTGTAGGGACATATTACCGTTTTCATTCATACTCATATCAATCACTGGGCATATTCTAATCTAAACTAATCAATTCACTGAATTCGATCAATAGTCGTTAAGTTAAAGTATTCAAACTAACAATATCCAACTTGCCATTATCTTAAGCCTCGTAAAGGAACAATGACACAATCTTAAGTATCTCATTTCGAATTAATTAAATTTTATATTATGATCTGTTCAATTCACCAAGCGTTTTACACAAGCTTTTATACAGCTAATAAATAGGATCTTTCTCGTTTACTACAAGTTGGAATATTTCAAAAAAACTGTCATAACTTTCTTCATTAATTCTCAGCAGCAGAATAACCGCCAACAAAAATTCCTTAGTAGGTTGAGAAGATCCATTTCATTAGTTCGATTGACTATTTGAAATATCAATCCTACAGAGCCAATGACTGAGGAGTTCAAATTCAGACAGAATTAATTATAAGCCAGATTATTTAAAGATAAAAATGTGTTGAATGAAATACCTAATCAAACAATTAATCACTCTGTCCATAAATTATAATTGAAGTCTATTTTACGATTGCTTTTTAAATAATTTTATGAACCAAATTCCAATTGTCAAAATGGAGGAATCCAACTATCGATAGACGAAATATGGTGACATGTAAAGTTTGGCCGACTGACGCTTAGTCACGTCATGGGACCAAATTACCACCAAAGGTTTGAGATCAACCACATGACCACTAGTCAGAATAATTTTTTATTCTTAAAATAAAATGATACTCTTATACGCAAATCATTGACAGAAATGTAACAAGATCAGGTGTTATGAACGACTGATATGAATATCGATTCAACAGGTCATTCACTCTCTCTCCGAATGCAGTGGGGTTAGTTTTAAGCCTTTCATACCAAAAGTCTATAATATTACTGATCTTTGTAACTTAGGTATAGATTAAAGATAATCGATTTACCATTACTTTACTGAAAAGAACATTTTATTCTGACAGAAACAAAAGAAAAACTTAAGAAAGCTGTGTACATAGTTGTTTACTGACACTGATTAGTAATATACCACTAGAACATGAGCCAATTCTATTCAATAAGAATAAACTAAAAGTGAATAAAGTAAAAGAAATATACAGGCTAATGGAACTCGGTGATTTGGCTATACAAGCATACACTCATTTACGTAGTATGCTTCATAGAAAGAAAACAAATGATGAAAGCACAAGAAAAACAATCCAACGTACACATACACCATGTGAAAATCTTTAATATTAAATAGGATGTGCAATAAAATCACGTTTACAGATCAGTTGATCATTTGATTCAGTACATCGATGATGATGGGGAAGCGCATGTAATTTTGTCGTATTATTATCGCGTGTTTTCCTAATAGTTCTTCGCCTAGAACAAGATACAGATGGCGACGATGTAGAAAAGTGAATTCGATTATTATTGTTACATTTTACAGGATTCGCTGATTTTAATATTAATATATCAGAATAAGGATTATTATGACCATTTGTAATTGGTTTCAATGAGGCCACACCACCGATTGGTGTTTTCTCCAGATTTTTTAAAGCCCGTTCAATTCGATGTATAGCTGTTTTGGTTTCTATTTGATGTTTTGAACGACGATGATGATTGATGCTGCACGCTATAAAACAAAACAGCCAAATAATATTGATTAATAATAATGGGATTTAAGTATGAAATTAGTTTAGATAGGTAGAGGGAATGCGGTGGTTTGCAGGGATGATTGAATTTTCATTCTTTACACCATCGAGGATGACACAATGGCCTAGTACTGAACAGCTGAATAATAGCAGTGTTAAATCTGAGCGTGTGTCGTCCATGTCATGACTTGTAGCCTTCTGTCTAACATCAGGTAACAAAATCACCAGTCAAATATCGACTCCTATGACTCTCTCCCTGAGCTAAACAATTATATGCCAGTCAGCACTAGCACATTAAGTCATTGGCGGGTCCTTACTGGTCCTCGATTCGGTGGCTTCTCTCTCTCCCTTGCTCATTGAGTCCAGAACACAGTAACTATCCTACATTATATGAACATCATATTTCAAGCAATAGGTAGTTCATACGCAAACACAGTTGCAGGTGAACTCAAACACGATATCATACGAATCTACTCAAAGGGATGGTGTTAGTGGGATATACATTGGATTCAAGTATGTTTCGGTCAGAATCGTATGAGAGCATACTGATTGGATACTTTTTAACCAGTCAGCGTTAGCAGATACTTGCAGAAGACTCTAGAATCTTACGTAAAAATTATAAACAAACTAGCGCATTTCTTAGTGTCATTTCTACTTCCATCTAACCTTGTTATTTGGAATATAATTACGTTCCTGTTTAATCATGTTCTGATTCGGATACTTGTTGAGTGAGTAATGTCCAATACTAATTAATAGGAGTAGCTGGGTAGTAATAGGAAAATTTATAACAACAACAAACCTTCTCTTGTCCCCTATGTTTCTTGTCAAACCTACAAACTCTTTCCTTCTCCATATGGCAACTAGTTATAACTAAATTTCACCCATAATCTGTGCTTTCAAACTACGTATATACTGAGGCTTTGAATTGTAGAATCCACACGAAAATATTACTACAAAGAACTTCAGAATCCCAAATACTATGAACATCAAAGTATGGTGGTCGAAAGTTTAACTCACGGAGATTCACATTTTAGACATCAAGAAACTCGACAGTAGCTACTCGTGGTCCTACGGGTTTAGATAGATAAAGCATTTATTCCGAAAGTAAAACAATCACCACTTCAGATAGATTCCAAACAACAATCGCCCATATGTTGTCCGACTTAGTTTCTAGTCATGTTACCGATTCAACCCAATAAAGATAATTGTGATAAGGAGGAGGGGATGTAAGAGAAGTGCAAGAACGGTATGACATTTTCAAGAACAAAGAATATATCTTTTCTCTACAGTTATTGAGAATAGTTCTCCGACAAATTATTAATATGACCGCACACACACAAATCAATTTGGTTATCTTCTCACTCGCTCTTCTCACCATCAAATAGACGGTTGGGCTTACGCATCACGTACCGGAATTTGAAAACGCACAAAACAAGCACAAATACCAATGATAAAATTGATAATCAGTCGAAGAACAAGCACTCACAAGATGCTCCCAAAGTTAAATTATGAGAATTTATATTAGAACTTGTTTGAGAATTCTGGCTTAGGTCACGTTTTCCGCATAAATCAGGTATGTGAACATGGGAAGATGAAGCAGACAGGTAATTAGCGTAGGAAGATATTTTCGGAGTACTAAGAAGGAAATAGAAATTGACAACAAAGTATTGGATGAAATTAATTGAATTTTGTACAAGAATAATCCCAAAATGTGTGAAGCTCAGTGGCAAATTTTAAGTGTTAACACAACCCCCAAACGCCCTGGTACGGTCGAGAGTGGGGAGAGTCTGCTCTCACTCTAAAAATGCTCTCACATGGCCACGCGTATGTAACCTCTGCCAGGGAAGTCCTACTCACTGCCTTCTCGTGGCACCGCTGTTGTTTACGAAATTGAGAGGACGAAAAGAGAATGTCCGGTGCTTTAACCGGGTTGGTGGGCACGGAAAATTCACCTAGGGGAGTTGGAAAATCCTGATTCCAAACCAATGGTGCACATGGGCTCCAGTATCCTGAGAGAACAAATGGCGTATGAAACAATCGTTGGTCACCGGCTACCATGGGACTGCATCTCCTCACGATGCTCCACTGCCTTGTGGACTAGGCCTTCAGGTCAAAGGCTCGGGGTGTGGCCCCCTAAGAAACCACCTACTTAGGTCTGGGCACCCGGGAAGTATCACAACCCACACAAATCAAGTGACTTGTGTGGCGCATATGTATTCGGTGACCCTTTGTACCAATATTTATGTGTTCAAACAAATAAATAAATAGTGCTAACGGAAGAGGAATCTTAATTAAGGCACACTGTAATATGTTGTCTTACCAGTCGGTCTGATTTAAGTGGGTCTTAACAACAGATCCTGTGAATCTACTCAGAATGGAGGTGGCAAAGTGGTAAAGTTCTGACGATTATATCTCTTGCTTGGGAGAGAGATATCTAAGAAGCATCAACGGGTGTGGTTAGTTTACATGAAAGTTTGTCGAAAACTCGAAGCATCTGAAAAGTTATGTACGTTTATTCATGTTATGCTCACCGAAGCGGATGGTTTAATTACTGTTCTGAACAATACCATATAGTTATCTGAAATATTTCACTAGAAAATCCGATGATTAACCGAGTTACATGTAGCCTTCAAATCGAAAAATCTAACTATAATCTTTTATAATTTTTAATGTTGAAAAATATTGATGAACGGTAGCTAGTTGATATACATGTCCACATTCAGACGCGAAACCCCATTAGATGAGTATTGGAACTAATAAATTGGACACAATATTAGTCAGATCGATTCTTCTGTGTATTTTACAAGAGTATTTTTAAATTTTTTGACCGATATCATAAACATCCTCAGGAAAACTGAGTGAATAGAGCTATAACACTGTTAACGTACGAAATCTGTTCGTCAGAAATTGTTCCACTAGACGGGTTTTCAATAGAATTGGATAAAACACTTGTAGAATCGCATATGGCCATCATAGCTGATAGTTGAGCTTCACGTTGTATAGCTTCTTCCATTATTCTAAATCTCGAAGCTTCATCATATGAGCGTTGTGCAACGGTCAATTCGTCTCGAGTTGGCCGAGCAGGTCTAGCAACTAAAGTATGTCCATGAAAATCCAAACCATTCAACCTATGAATAAAAAACAATAGCGGAAATAAATTAAAATAACCCATAGTGTTATTGAATAAGAAAAAGGGAATTCAGGAAGAAAATTTTCTTTGCGACGAAACCATTTACTTAAGCTGTACATTCGTACATATAGTTATATGGAAAATATATGTCTATAGGTGGCTAGAAAAGATTGCATTATAAATTGATTTGACAATAAATAACAAATGAAGTTAAATACTAATCAAGGGGTAAGGAAGAAAACAATTTATAGGTCAGATAGTCCAATTGATCAATTGTTATTTATTGTCGAATCAATTTATAATGCAATCTTTCCTAGCCTCCCATAGACATAAATTTTCCATGTAAAAATAATAACTTATTAGAGTTAAAGATGCAAAACGATAATTTTTAAAAGAAATCGATAATAATCAAATAAAAGTGCAGAGAAAAAAACAACAACCAGAAACATATCCATTATTATGGTCAATGAAGGGTGAGAAGTTGGACAAATCATTTCTGCACGCAAAGTTCAGACCTCCCTTCGACTCGGTTCCTTTGACTCTGTAAATTACTTTAAAAGAAGAATCCTTTGGAGCGATGTGTCCACAATAAATTAAATGCTCCTGTATCGAACTAGCAATTTTTTTACATTCTCATTTTAAGAGCCACTGGGGTATGTTATATAATGCCAGCTGATTTCAATTTATTTATTTCACAACCTTGTTTGACTTTTTCTCTAGGAGTTTTCTGGATCTCCCCAATACTTACGACATCAAAAGACGGTGAAGTAGAAGAATTAGAAGTGCTCGGTTGTGTGGTAGGTGTAATTTTCGTATCTGCTAACATCTAGATAAGTTTCAGCTGCTGCTCAAGTAATACTTCCACTTTTGAGGGATCCATGTTTCCGCCAGCCTCGTCGCCAGATTTGCTATGTTTGAAGAGATCACGAGTTCACTTAATATGCAAACGGAACGAAGACTCAGTGACACAATGAACAAATAAGCTAACTATTCCGATGCGTCCAAGTCGTACCAACTAGAAAGAGAAGTCCGGGCACAGACGAGTGAAAGTGTATTCCACAAGCACCCACAAGCACGAACAACAACCACAAACATAACTAAAGTGTATATATACAGCATTGAGATGTCCTTGAAAAACGTCACAAAATAACATATTAAAAAGGACAACAAACCAATGACATCTAGGGTCCTCTCGAGTGAGACGGTTTCTGCATGAAGACGAAAAATTCAAATTTCAAAATGAAATTACAAAAACAAGACATTTATCAAGTGAGTTCTAGTGATCTAGGGTCCCTAACAATATAAGGGTTTCGATACTGCCCGAGCACACAAACTGAAGCAGTTACAGACACATGAAATGTTTTGCCTATGTGGGAGACTTGGCAGACCAGTCAAATTGACTGAGAATTGAGAAGATTCAATCTTAGCGTACTTGAATATAGCGAAACAATCTGGACAGAAAATATTAACTTCAGAAGAGTTGATATTATATTCTGATATTGAAGAAAACACATTCCACACACAAGGAGTTGCATTGACACTATCCAAAGGAGTACATTAAGAACTTATAAGATCCAATTGATTCAGAATCACCACAGCATTTCTCTAACAAAGGAGGGGATTAAAATGAATGTTATCCAGTGCTATGTGCCCATCAAAAGATAGCCACGAAGACGATAAAGATCACTTCATTGTAGAGTTTTATACCTGACATGAATTTCTCAAAGGAGAGGAAACTAGTATGGAGAACTCCTGGAAAGGGATTAAAGAAGCCATAACTACACTTCAGTAGGTGCTTGGCTGCCAGAAGCACCAGCATAAAGAGCGGATCTCGGTCGATACCCTAGGCAAAATTTGAGAAAGGAAAAACAAAAAACAACAATCAACAACAAATGAACACGAGCACAGAAAGCCAAAACGCAGGCCGATTACACAGAAGAGGAAAAGCGAGTGAAGAGGAGCACTATAGCTGATAAGCGAAAACCTAACAATGACGGCAGAAAAAGCTGCAGGAGAACGAAATGTGAGGTAACAGTGTGATACAACGGAGAAGCTAGCAGGAAAATATAGTAAACCAGAACGGCCAGTCAAGAACAAAGAAAGCAAACGGCGAGACTATAATTTATGGAAGACCTTTGAACGAATCTTAAATGACCTTGAGAAACGCAAGTCAATCAGGGAACAGTTAGTATATAATAAAAGTATATTATACAAAACCAAGGAATTAAAATGGATGCACTTCTTTTACATGGTCCAAAAAATTTTCAAGGTTAGAAATAGGTTCGAAGGTTCTAAAATCGTAATGAATACGGTAGAGGAACTCATCCTTATGGCTCCATAATGGTCAACCTCTGGAGCCATGATAAGGTCGCAAATACTCTTTCAACATCTACCACGTAGCTTCAATATTATTTGTGTGTACTCTGGCTTGTCATTTTTGTTACACATACATCTCATTAAACAGCCGAAGCTTCAGTAACATCTGCGAATATTGCAGCCAATGCTGCTGGTGCTTTCATTACACAGTTCGCAGCGATTATTATTATTTGCCTTAATCTCAATATGAATCGAGCGAATAAAGTTCCTATTCTAGCATACTTCTTCATCCAACATATATTACATAGACATCATAACGGTAGTCTGAACAGGGTCTATAAGTCATTTGATTACTACAATTACAAATAAAGAAACTTTTTAATAGACCCATTTATTGTAGCCGCTTAACTGATGTATCTTCTCCAAAATCTGCTGTGAACCGATCGTACGTGCGCGCCGGGTACTGGAATTTGCGCCGTGACCTTGAAATCCCTCAAACACTTCTGATTGGCTCGTCCATAAATTAGTCTCGCCAGGCAAACCAATCAATCAGATTCAAAAACAAAGGAACGGGTGGGTTGAGCAAGTTGAAGGACTCTTGAATAGGTCAACCCACTGCGCCCATCGAAATGAGAAGCAACTCACACAGGCCATCAGACAAATCAAGAATGGGAAAGCAGCAGGACTAGACAGTATACTAGCTGAAGCACTAAGGTCAAACATTATTTTATTTTTATTTAAACACATAAATATTGGTACAAGGAAGCACCAGATAAATATGCCCCTCACAAATATCATTTGATTTGTGTGAGGGCTGTGATACTGCTCAGGTGCCCAAACTGAAGCAGGTGGTTTTCTTAGGGGGCCACACCTCGAGCCTTTGATTTGAAGGCCTAGTCCACAAGGCAGTGGAGCATCTTAAAGAGATGCAGTCCCATGGTAGCCGGTGACCAACAATCGGTTCATACGCCATTCGTTCCTTCAGGGTACTGGAGCCCATGTGCACCATTGGTTTGGAATCAGGGTTTTCCAACTCCCCTAGGTGGACCCACAATCGGGTTAAAGCGCCGGACATTCGCTTTTCGTCCTCTCAATTTCGCAAACAACACTGGGGCCACGAGAAGGCAATGAGTAGGACTTCCCTGTTAGAGGCTATATATTCACGTGGCCATGTGAGAGCAGACTCTCCCCACTCTCGGCCGTACCAAGGCATTTGGGGGCAAGATCAAACATAAAGGTAACTACAGAGATGCACCATGTTCTCTTCAGAAAGATTTGGGAGGGGGAACAAGTACTGAAAGACTGGAAAGGATACCTCATCAAGCTACCAAATGAAGATTTCAGCAAGTTTGAGAACAACAAAGACCACATTACTATCAGTAACTGGCGAAATTTCTAATAGCGTTGTTAGGCCGAACGAAAGATTCGGCAAACGCACAACTTTAAGACCAACAGCCTGAATTTCGTAAGGACTGATTATGTACCGACCAAATCGCGATACTGCAGATCATTGTTGAGCAATCGATTACATAGAATTCATCACTATGTAAAAATGTTTTTGATTGTAAGAAGTCGTTTGACATCGCAGATAGGAAAACCTTATGGAACTTTCTTGAAAACTATAGAGAGTCTAACGAGATCGTCACTACCACACGAAACTCCCACGACCAGATCACAACCCCAAATTAAAGCAGAGGCCAGGCCACAGATGAATATATATATATATATATATATATATATATATATATATATATATATGGGCACATAGGTTTGTGACCCGTTGACGTGATTCAGGTTTGGTCGTATGGTAACGGAAAATACGTGCAGCCAACCCTCATTTATAATTACCGACTAAATTCGTGTCAGAGAATTATTTATTTATTTATTTAAACACATATATATTGGTACAAACGGGCACCAGATACATATGCGCCACACAAAATAATGATAGTAGGAAGCAGGATCGCCACTGGCTTCTATTATGAGCCATATCTGATAACGTCTCTAGCCACTGTGTTGCACCATCTCTCGGACCCCAACCAGGGAGTCGTGAAGGACCAACAGAAGCTAGCCCTTTGCAGCTCTTTCATGCCACGACACCATGTCATACACTGACCTCCTCTTTAGAATCGTCAATAGAGTTCATCATTTCATTCATTTGCGCATATGTACCTGGTGCCCTTTTGTACCAATATATATGTGTTTAAATAAATAAATAAATAATAAACTGACCTCCTCTCCGCTTTTTCCAACCAGTCCCACAGTCGGCAAATAATGCACGACGTGGAAGTTTCTGGGACGACATTCGTAAAACATGTCCAAGCCACCGAAGTCGGTGTTTCAAGATGGTGACACCAATTGAATTATCGTCTCGGCGCCCGAACACACGATGCCGAACCTCTGCATTACTAACATGGTGTTGCCACTGTATGTCAGCAATCCTTCGGAGACAACGATGATTGAACACAGAGAGACGTCTAACATCCTCAACTCGGAGAGGCCAGGTTTCACAAGCATAGAGCAAAACTGCTCTCACCGACGCGTTGTAGATCCGACCATTTACAGCCAGAGTAACATTACGAAGGCGCCAAAGATGGCCCAGATTGGCATAAGCCGCTCTGGCTTTCATTACACGTGCATCAATCTCATCACTCACGCCACCACCAGCACTTATATAGCTACCCAGATACACAAACTTCTCAACTACTTCAATCTGCTCACCATCCAGGGTGAGTACAGGATGAGAATCCTGCCAGCAGTCTTGTAGGAGTACTTTGCACATGGAGGGTGCAAAGCACATACCGTACCTGCGGACACTCATTGCCAACTGATTAAGTGCGGATTGCATGCCTTGGGCATTATCGCACAGTAAGACAATATCATCCGCATACTTGAGGTCCAGAAGTCGTTCTCCAGGTAACATATCCACACCGCCATTACTTACATCCATCAGAGCTGTTTCCAGGATGTCGTCGATGGCAAAGTTGAGGAGGAATGGTGAGATTGGGCAACCATGCCTAACCCCACTGCTCGAATGGAACAAGGGAGAAAGGTGGTTGTATGCCCTCACTCTGCCTGAGGTGTTCGTATACAGGGCCTTTAAGATGTTAATGAACTTCTCAGGCACACCCTTCTTCAAAAGGCAATCCCAGAGAACAGTCATGTCCAATGAATCGAAGGCAGCCCTGATATCAAGAAACACTACGATTGTTGGCCTGCGATAAGTATGACGATGTTCTAACATTTGGCGGAGGGTGAAGATGTGATCAATGCATCCTCGACCAGAAAGAAAACCAGCCTGCTCCTCGCGAGTCAATCGTTCTCGGGTTTTAAACAACCTACGAAGAATGACAGAAGCCAATAGTTTGGACTCAATCGGAAGTAGACTTATCCCCGATAGTTGTTACAGGAACAACGTGAACCCTTTTTAAAGATAGGGACGACTATTGACTCATTCCATGATGTTAGAACACTTTCTTGCTCCCAAACTTTTCCAAACAACACAGTCAATTCCTTAGTCAGAAAGTCACCACCATCTTTAAAAAGAGCCGGAGGTAAGTCATCTGGGCCAGGTGATTTGTAACGTTTCAAGAGTTGGAGTTCCTTGCGGACTTCCGCCTCGTTTGGTGGATCAGTCGTCACCGGCCATGGGGGGCAGGACAAACTGGTTGATGTTGCCGGAGCAGCAGGCCAGTTGAACTGCCCTTCGAAAAATTCCGCCCATCGTCCAAGACGTCGAGAGATGTTAGTGATTGGCATCCCATCATCCTCGTAGATTGTTTCACTCACACCAGACTTCTTGCTGCCAGTGGCTCGGATGAGTTGGAAGAGCTTCCGGCAGTTACCAGATGCAGCTGCTGCTTCCATCCCATTAGCACGCTCCGACCCCCAGGCTTCTCGGTCCTTACGCAAGCTTTGCCCGATTTTATTACGTAACAGCCTCCGTTTGTGGTCAAACTCACGGTCACCCGGAGTAGACCGACGGGCTTCCATCAGTTGTAAGGAGCCAGAAGAGACCCAGTGCTTGTAAGCGGGATGTTTCGCGAAGCCGCAAGCGGCTTTACTCGCCATTTTCATGGCGTCGTGAAGATGCAACCAATACTCATCTATAATTTTCGGTGGGATGGTAGCTAGCCTAGAGGCTAGCTCCGCTCGATACTTACTTGCAACAGATGTTGCAGCCAGTTTACTAACATCTATCCGTTGGTGGTGGTCAATCCTTCGGCCACTGAAAAGCAAGGTGAGACTGGCACAGACAAGGGCATGATCAGACTCCAGATAGGTACTCCAAAAGGAGCAGCAGTCTTGTACACAACCACGCCAGCGGTAGCTGATCGCGATGTGATCAATCTGAGTCCAGGCTTGAGATGCAGAGGGAGGACGCCAGGTGGCACACCGGCGATGACTGTGCCGGAAGTTAGTGCTAGCCAGAAACAGGTTGTGGTCTGTGCACAGTTGCAGCAAACGGTCCCCGTTATCTGTCCTGCGACCAACAAGTCCCCATCGGCCACCGAAACGACTCTCTTCTGTGCCTAGACGCCCGACCTGTGCATTCAAGTCTCCGGCTAATACTACAATATCTGTCGAACGCGCTTTCTTGAGAAGAACTGTTAACTGGTGGTAAAACTCATCCTTGATTGCATCCGGGCTGCAATCTGTCGGGGCATAGGCGGAGATGACGAAAAGACACCGTTTCTCACGCCGGTTTCTTCTCACTTTGATGGAACTTTCTAATCTAACAGCACATAACCGACTGTTAATGGGGATCCAATCGATTAGTGCTGCCTCAGCCCTAGCGCTTAGTGCAACACCAACGCCTGCAAGACCAGACGAAGATGCCACAGAGTCCCCGGATAAGCGCACGTGAAACAAGCTTTTCGAAGCGACAGATGGAGAGCGAATTTGTAGTACTTCACTAGAGTCTTGAATACGGGTCTCGGATAGACAGCAAACATCAACATTAAGACTTTCTAAAAACATAGCCAGCCCCATCTGTTGTCCGATCTGCATTAGTGTGCGAACGTTGAAGGAAGCCAGCTTGAACGGTGTACGCGGTTTCAGAAAGACTGCTTCAGTATTCATAATCGGTGGAAGCATTCACTTTCAACCAGACAGTGACTGGAGATCGTTTAGATAGGACAGAGTTTTCACCATGGGCGAGCTACTGCATAAGTTGGAAGGGAAGGATACACAATTTGGGAATAAAGGGAGTGAAAAAGCGACGTAGTAAATAATAGTAATAATAATAGTGTAAATTGACTTGCTTCTAGTGTGAGCGAGAATAGTATCGTCAATAGAATTCATCATTTCATTTATTTGTGTGTGGGCTGTGATACTGCCCGGGTGCCCAAACCGAAGCAGGTGGTTTTCTTAGCGGGCCACACCCCGAGCCTTTGACCTAAAGGTCTGATCCACAAGGCAGTGGAGCATCGTGAGGAGATGCAGTCCCATGGTAGCCGGTGACCAATGACAGGTTCGTCCGCCATTCGTTCCATCAGGATACTGGAGCCCATGTGCACCATTGATTTGGAATCAGGGTTTTCCAACTCCCCTAGGTGGACCCTCCGTGTCCACCAACCCGGTTAAAGCACCGGACATTCGCTTTTCGTCCTCTCACTTTCGTAAACAACACCCCCGCCACGAGAAGGCAGTGAGTAGGACTTCCCTGTTAGAGGCTATATCTTTGCTGGCCATGTGAGAGCATTTCGAGAGGGAGAGTGGGCTCTCCCCACTCTCGGCCGTACCAGGGCATTTGGGGACAGAGAATAACGGAAAATAATTCGAACACAATGATGAATCATGGATAAACATTTTTCATGCGTCTGTTGATCCAGACAGAGCTCGGCGGAGAAGCACATCGGAGAAGGCAAGTGTGCCAACTTCCCTTTGTTAGTGTGACTCAATTTGTGTAGCCATACACGAGGAAGCTTACGACATGTGATGAATAGAGTAGGAAACTAAAACATACGGTCATCTATAAACATTCAGGGTTACTAAGCGAATAAATGACAAGGCCAAAATGACTCAGAAAGAATAAGCAAATGGGTCTGTCCGTGAGCTAGAATAACACTCATGTGGTTACGATATAGTGCTAGATGCTACAGTACAATACATTCAGCAAGAGTACGTTATGTGAAGGTCAGAAAAGTCACGAAATAGTTCGCATAATCCCGATGCGACAGTGAATTCGACCCAGTTCACAAATAAGGCGTATAAGGGTCACTACAATCTTTCCGTTAATAAATTATTGTAAAATTTCACCACAACCTAAATTCTATATTCAATGCATTTTAGTACGTTCTTTGAGTGGAACTATCCAGGCTTCTGATCAACATTGGTATCTTTTGGGTTCAAAAGAGCGATACTATGCGAAAGAACACAGATCACTAAACAACCACAAACATACATTGTTAAAACGTGTTAACGATTTTATTTATTAGGTTTTGAGAACAATTTTAGATTACCTGAGTCAGAAAAGCCAAAAACAAAACATGGAACTAGTACGGGTTTACAAATTTAGTCACAAACATATCAACAGACCTTGATGATATCCACGGTATGTAGGAAGATAGAGGGTATCCACACCTATATAACCGTGAACGACTCAAATAGCCAAAGAACTAACAGTTATAGAGACAAAGTAGATGAAACAGGGTTTAAACAAGCAACTTTATTTCACCAGATATAAACTTATTATAAGGTAAATAGCACTAGATGCAACCAACCTAAGTGAAATGAAACAAACTTACACTTTACAAGCTTTCTTAGCATCATCCACTGACCTGTATGTCAGAAAGCAATAACCAACTGTAGATCCTTGCATATCGCCAGTCTTATGCACAGGAAAATGGAAATCGGATAAATCTCCGAATTGTTTAGCTAGCTGCAAAACCGAAAATTCCGTAATACGTTTTGGGAGACACCCTAGCCAAATTCTGTGTGGGTCACCATTCATTTCATTAAGATCACTACATATACCACTGGTGTTGGAACAAGTAATAGTTGCCATTTGGGGAAAACTATATGCAATAAATTAAGAAAGAAACTTAAAAATAGAGCCAAAGTAATAGCGAACAACCAACGCATACTTTATAATGTTAGCATTATCCTGAGTGTTGACAGTGAATCGGACGGTATTTGAAGATCATTAGTGAAACGATTTGTTTTCGGCAACAAATTGTTATCTAATCTTCCCCTGGTAGGATTATAGGTGTTTTTGGATTTTCATTTGTGTCCAGCTTGAAATTCACACTGTTTGTGAGAGCATGATCGAACCACTGAGTTAACCTAATGTTATGATTGGTTTTACTTTTGTTTTGTCCATAAAAGCTTAAACTGCTCCCGAGTAATTTTCTGAATGAGTCTGTAGAAATAGAAGCCACAGAGATAACCTCCACCCAAACCTTCTGATGAATATTTCGCTAAAAAAATCCCTTGTCCTCTTCTAAGGCGTTTAATGCGAATTCTTCACTTAGTTTGCAGTCCTTCATAATCCCATCATATGTTGACAACTCGACACGCCGATAAGTGCCTAATGATGCATATTGGTTACCAAGGTACAGATTAATTAACGACTTCAAACTGGTTAATAGTGAATTCGCACCTGATGTGGCCTCATTATTCTTGTCTTTCAAAACAAACGATCTATGAGGAAACTAAATTGGTTCACATGCCAAGAACAAATTATTTTTAAACTGACATAGACTCTCCCAACAAATTATCAGCGAACAAAACTCGTTGAATCAACGCGTGATTGGAGCACGGCATTAGTCTATTTGGTGGAGATTGAAGCAATCGAAACCAGCATTCTATAAACAGGCCACCCAGCCATCTATCACTTATAAACTGAAACGAAGCCGTCATTAGCCATTCAAACGTACAAGTAGCAAATTCTTCAGTGCTGAGAGTTGACATTAGCATAAACGTAAAAAGAGATGCAACCAACCAGCACAGGACCTCTTAAAACAAATATAAACGTCATATGGTAGGTTACTAGGTTTGCGACCTACCCCTTATCTTTGCATAGAGCACAGGGTTTCGAATTAAACTTTTGCACGCTCAAACTAAAACACATATTCAATTTGCAAAACCACCGGACCTTGATCTCAGTCGCGATAGTAGGGGCAGACAGCTTGTTTTCAAAGATACTTGACACTATTTATAACATTAATTAGATTCTCCATGCTTCAATCCTTTTTGCAATCACTGATACTACTCGTTCTTCTGTATTAAGGTTGGTAGGTTCTTTCCTATTGGTTTGATAAGATGTGACGACTTCAGCTTACTCAAGACATAACCATACACACCGTTACTAACGATATACCAAAAGGAATTAACACTACAAACCAAATGGTCTGTTTATGAGTAAAGCAAAACGGCAACAATAATACATAACAAAATGGTATATTGGATAACAACATGACAGCTATTGTTATGAAATGAACGTTACTTTTAAGCTGTTTCTGAGATAACAACCACAAATGAATTCACTTGATGGAAGGAGGTGCCTATGCCAGTGGAGGCACCACCGATGTGGTAAGAGATATATCTAGCAGTATTATTTTATAGTAATCCAGGACTACTCCAGCGTTATGTTGAACGGCCCAAAGGGATGTTTTAACACTATTATAATCTTCGAATACAGGCCGTGGTCAGTAAGGTAAAACAGAAGACGACGGAGATACACACCATTCTTAATAATAGCGGCAGTGTGTGTGACCAGTATTACCAAACGATTATGTCCGTTTCTTACCATTGATACAGAAAAACGAAGTATTTTGAATTTAGATGAAATTATATATGAAGTGTCACAAATAAGAAAAAACTGTGGTCCTTGTTATGTCTTTACAAAAAACCATTGAAAATACTGGTGACTTTAAATCAACAGGAACAAGGTGTACACATTTTATGGAAAGAAGGTACTTTTTGTACAAACGATAGCAATAAATATAATTTTTTTCTTATATTCCACGATTTTAAATAGTACTACCTATGCTCGTGTCAGTTTAATTCGTTTATTTGTTTAATCCATATCTCAATGGAAGCCCTGAATACAACGGACAGTTAGGATGCAACTGGACTGTACGGACTTCACGGATGACCTAGCACTCCTATGGCATACAAATTGCAAATGCAGATGAAGACAACCAGTGTAGTGGCGGACACTGCGTCAGTAGTCCTCAACATACACATGAGAAAAACCAAAATCATCAAGTACAAATTATTTCGTTACAAAAAATCACTGAATATGCATGTCAGTTGTAGATCATCAACGTAGATTATCTCTGTCAAATGATTTGGGGTCTACTCTAGATAGACGGGAATAGTGTGACCAATAGCCAACTTCGAAGTCACACTTGGCAGTCAGCACCTAACGTGGTTTACTTCTTCTTCATATAAAGGTACTATTACCACTTTGAAGATCGCATAACACAAAGGTCATTATTACGGGAATATATTAGTAAGAATGAGTACAGAGGAGATAATAGGACCACCACCGCATGTGCCAATCCATGGAGTGGGATTATTGATGCGTGTTTGTTGTCCTCGACTTTAACAGGCACAGATGATCTGTTTGAAATTCAGTGACCCAAACGACAGATGATTTGACAACAGCTCAGTGACATTTCACTGGCCCCACAGTACTACGCCGTCAGATTTGACAACCGATTGAATCACTACCAAACATGTTGGCAGTAGTAGCGCGCCAGAGGTTTCCAAACGATTGTTATGAGTCCTCTAAATATTGCCGAGCTGTAAGGCAAATTCGAAAGAATTAGCAGAAACTGATAGGGAAACACAGAGTAATAGTAAGTTACCAGAACGTTGGTTGGATGTAAAGTGATTAACCACAGAAATAATAAAAAAACATAACGTTTTAAGGTTCTATCAAGTCGCTTTGAAATAGATAGCTTTTACAAGCGATTGAGTCCCTCAGATGAGAAACGTTAAGTTTGCCGCAACAACATCGAAGTAGCACCTACGAACATCCCAATCGATGTTGGCTCACCAACATTTGGAGAGATCAGCATGACCATCAGACAAATCAAAAGCGGTAGAACGGCAGGACCACACATCATTTCGGTAGAGGCACTTAAACCACATGTAGCAGCAAATCCAAAGATACTCCACATTCTCTTCAGTAGCATTTGATATGAAGAACAAGTACCAACAGACTAAAAATAAAAACACCTGATCAAAATGCCAAAGGAAAGCGATCTCAGCAAGTGTAAGAACTATAAAGGCATCACTCACACATTGAAACTAGGAAAACTCTTCAATAGGGTGTTGTTAAACAGAATGAAGGACTCCGTAGACGCCAAACTTCGAGATTAACAGGCTGGATTCCGTAAGGATCGATCGTGCACCGACTAAATCGCAACACCACAGATAATCGCTAAACAATTAATTGAATGGAACCCTTCACCTTACATCAACTTCATTGACAATGAGAAAGCATTTGATAGAGTGAACAGGAAAACACTACGGTGTGCCTGAGAAGATAGTCAATATCATGCGGAATTTCTGTGATGGATTAAACTGCAGAATCGTGCATGGAGAACAATTCACTGCCTCTCTCGAAGTAAAGACAGGTGTCAGGCAAGGTTGCTTACTCTCACCCTTTCTCTTTCTCCTGGTGTACGAATGGACCGACTGAAAAAGGTACGCACGCTTTTCGAACGGGAAGTTTAGTCCTAACGTCATTTACATTTCTCAAACTTTTGTTGTGTTCTTGCGCAACAAAAGTACCATTTCCGATCTAAATAATCTATTCTGAGCTATACATCCGGTAGATTACTTCCTTTTTTGTGTTTCACTCAACTTAATAGTTAACTGTGGTTTTGCCTCAGCTCACTATCGGTTTTTTTATAGTTTTTTCGTAAAGACTAGCTTTAGTTTATCGTTAACTGTGTTTATACATTTTTGCCAGTTTTTGTTTACTGTGTTTTTTTAACGGTCCTAAATTTACTGCTTGTATTTTTAAGACAGTCTAAATCACTAGCCATGAAAAATTCATGCAAAAGACCTGGTTGCCGTTTCGCTGTTACATCTGGCATGCAATGTGACAATTGCAAAGGTTGGTTCCACGAAACATGTACAGATCTAACAGCAGCAGCCTATAGCAAACTCAGCAAGTCTGATCGTAGGTGGGTATGTGTTACCTGCAACATTGATACCGTAGTTATGTTGGGTACCATCATTACTTTACTGACAGGTCTGAGAGATAAGTTGTCTAAGAATTTGGTAAACTGTAGTATCATGACGGGTAACAAAACTGGAACGCATAGGGCAAACAAGAAAAAGGATACTGACAGGCCGGTTATCGACGGTGCTGTTAACAGCACGAGTGATGATGTGCTGAAACTCAGCACCATCTTAACATCGACTGTCATCGACTCCCTCAGTAAACTTGGGTCCCCCAGAGAACAGTCCTTGAATGAAACAGTGGTTCCCAAAAATCTTGTAGGTGGATGGACTCACGTTAACAGGAGTAATAAAGCCCAAGCGTCCCCTCCGAAATCGAACGTCCCGAGTATCGTGCGGAAATCAGTTGATGCTATGGCTGCACAGTCCAACCCCAAGACTGTCCGCCCGGTCATCACTGAGCCCAGGAATCGAAAACGCGCCTCGACATCCAAACAACAAGATACCAAACCTAGATGCCCTGGAAAACGTGGGAAATCAATTACGGTTCGTGACGTCTCTGTCATAATCATGAACCTTATTGACAACCCCGACCTTCCTCTCAGTTTGCAGGACAAAAATGGTAGGATGCTCTGAGGAGAATTAAACAAGAGGCTTGAACTTCCTAGAATAGAGCCTTTGACCGTCACACGGCTCACTCGGAGGAAGGACTCTAACCACTTAAACCACCCGAGGCTGCTTTGTGTTACACTTAAGAATGCCTCCGACGTTGAGGACGTCCTGCTAGCCAGTCACTTACTGAGATCCGATGGGAACGTAAGAATACTGCTCGACATACAGTATTGTGAACGAAATCTCATCCGA